CATGGCCTCCTAATAACCATCTAGGAACTGGCTTCATCACTCTGTTCTGCTCCCCACTGAGAGCTGGTGTGTGGGGTGCATACTACGCCAGCAGCCATATCACCCTGCAACTCACAACTGGCAACCCCCTGAAGCTAAGCAGGTGTGAGCCTGGTCAGTACCTGGATGGGAGACCTCCTGGGGAAAAAGGTTGCTGCTGGAAGAGGTGTTAGTGGGGCCAGCAGGGGGCGCTCACCCTGTGGTCTGTGTGGGTCCTAATGCCCCAGTATAGTGACGGTGACACTATATTGTAAACAGGTGCCGTCCTTTGGATGAGATGTAAAACTGAGGCCCTGACTCTCTGTGGTCATTAAAAATCCCAGGATTCTTCTCGAAAAGAGTAACCCTGGTGCCCTGGCCAAATTTCCCATTGGCCCTTACTGATCGTGGCCTCTTTATAATCCCCATCTCTGAACTGGCTTCATCACTCTGCTCTCCTCCCCACTGAGAGCTGGTGTGTGGGGAGGTACTGGAGCACTATGGCTGCTGTCACATCATCCAGGTGGGGCTGCACACTGGGGGTGGTGGAGGAGATCCCCATTACCTGTAAAGCACTTTGAGTGGAGTGTCTAGAAACATGCTCCACCACTGGAAGTAGTGTAAGGAATTATTATTATTATTATTATTATTATAGGCTGCTTGCTACTATCAAACACTAGAGGGAGCCAGATTATTCCACCCAGCCATTTTCTCGCTGCTTCTTTCAATTCAGTGTGGCGGTGGAGTCAGATGCAATCCCGGTAATCAGGAGGCACAAGGCAGGGTACTGGAGCCCGGGCAGACACACACTCGCACCAGGGCCATGGAGGGAACGTACAAACTCCACACCGATGGTAGCTGAGGTTTGGACAGTGATAACTACTTGGTCACCGTGCTTGCCGGAGTCCGATCCAGCCACTCTGTCCTTCCTAACGAGATTGTTTCGAATGAAAACGCTGTAATTCTGGGGGGTTACAGTGTCCGTGTGGAAACAGGAGCCTGCAGGACAGGCGGCGATGATCGCAGGCAAACTCCTTCTGACATCCTGCTGTCTCTTCTCCCATAACAATGTGCAAACTGGCCTTCAGCTCTGATTCTGTCAGAGGCCAGAACCTACTGTATGTGTGGCCCTGGTCAGCCCTGAGAAGCAAGACTCAGGGAAACTCAGGAAGGTGACAAGCCAGCAGGTTTGAGGTTCATTTTGAGATTCTAATCCATCATTTCAGTAAGTGAGTGAGCTACCATTCCTCACGTGACTTTGTATTGAGTCACTGATTACTGGTGCACTCAGGAGAGCAGGCCTACTAGCCTCAGTGGCCTGGTTAGGTTTCACTACAGGATTGTTCATTTAACCCAAGTTATTTGTTTCTGTCTTGTCGGTGAACTGTGAATGTACACACACAGGCGCACACACGCGGAGCAGCAGGTGGCCTGTAACAATATCTCAGTCTCCTCTGCAGTCGCCGGCTGTTGGTCTGCTTGTATCTGCTTTCCTGTCTCATGACTAATGTCTCCATACTTTTCTGCCTGTCTGCCTGTCTTCCCCTGGGCTGCCAGAACACTGGATGAAAGGTGATATGATGTCTGAGGAATCCAGGCAATATTTGCACAAGACTGGGTGACTCAAAATATTCAGGAGAATATGGTAGCAGCAGTGTTGAAATGCACATTTCAGCTCTCATTCACCTGTCGAGTAGCTGTGTAGCATCCAGCCCACAACGTGTCCCCCTGGTGATCTGTCATAAAACGAACATTTACCACACTCTCAGTTAAAACGCAGAATCTTATTTCTTTATTCTGATTCTCTATTTTGGAGGTTGTGGAGTAGTTTCTTTCTCTATAAACCTCTCTATCTTGACCAATTGGCCCAATACTCTTCTTATTGATCCTGGTATTGTTAATAAAGTAGTCATGGCTGCAGATTTGACCCAATCGGCAGGATAAGCAAACCCTGTAGAATAACATTCAAAGCTGGACCACCATCTGGGAGAGTGGCTTTAATGTAGATAACTCTTCAGAATGAACAGTGAAACACAAACTGGGGGACAGAAGCTGAAACAATGTCAAATAGCTTTTAAGATCAAGGATGGGAGGCTCTTCTTTACACAAAGGGTGGTGGGAGTGTGGAACAAACTGCTCAGCCATGTCTTTGAAGCTGATACCCTGGTTTCTTTTAAGAAACAGCTGGACAAGATCCTCAGATCAATTAACTACTAACTACCAAACAGGCAGGATGAGCCAAATATCCTCCTCTCGTTTGTAGCCGTATTTGTGCTTGAACAGTATGGTCTGAAATTGATGAGAGAGGAAGCCATTTCATGAGCACAGGAGTTTCCTCTGGAAACCCATGACTGCGTTGTCTCACTGACTTCATGGTATGGCCTTCCCTTCCCCTGCCCCACCTGCCTCTGGGCTTGTCCCACTCCACGAAACATGCGGAAAACATTTGGAAGATGAAAGGGTGTTGAAAACACAGACCTCCCTGGGCGAATTTCACTTTTTCAAGGCTACACACCCTTGTTCTGTGGAACCTGGAGTGATCTCCTCACCCTACATTTCAACAGAGGCATAAGAACTGAGGTCCGTGCTCTGTACCCCAACTTCTCTGTGGCATCCAGCTCTGAGTTGGGGCTCCAGCCTCGTCAACATGTCCACAGGAGTCCTTTTGAGATCCAGCCCTTTACAAGCAGTAAAGTGTGAACTGTGACAACTTCCCTCTGCCTGTCAAACCTGTCTTTCCTCTTACATGAGGAAAGAAATGTTCCGAAACCCAGTTCCTAAGAAAACACTTCTTCAGAACATGGAGGCACATCCTGAAGATGCAATGCAACATCCACAGCCCCAGATTATCTGACATCTGCCCCTCTCTCTGTTTTTGTGATCAGCAGCTGTTCTCTTCCTGTGGCTGCTCAGTAGCAGCCCTGTCCTCTGTCCTGTGTCTGCTGTCCTCTCTCTGACACCCGCCTCTGTCCCCTGTCCCCTGTCTCCTCAGTGTCCCCTGTTGTCTCTCTGTCCTCTCTGTGTCCCCTGTTGTGTCCCTGTCCTCCTTCCCCTGTCCTTTCTGTGTCCCCTGTTATCTCGCTGTCCTCTCTGTGTCCCCTGTTGTGTCTCTGTCCTCTGGCCCCTGTCCTTGACTGAGCTGAAGACTCCCGCTGTGCCATAGGTGTCAACAGAGAGTTTAATACGTTTGACTTCTAAATGTCAGAGAATGGTTCCAGTTATACAGTAGACTAGAATGATCTTGAGGTCATTGCAAATGAATCAACACCACGCTCATATCTTCCAAGATGGTATGTCTGTGGTTCCCAGACGTGGATGAATATTGTCTGTGGCCAGAAGGGGGGGAAGGACTTGCAATGGCATGTTACATTGCTCCACCAGCCTGGCCTGCAGGAGGCGCTACAACATTACTCCGTCAATGAAGGGAGGAAAGCAAGGAGGCAAGTGAAGCCGTTAGTTCCAATTTCCTTTATTTTTCTGCCAAGAACATCAACCACACCGCTGGACAGGCAAAGACTGGGGTCACCGTAGGGGAAGGGGGGGCCTGAGGGACAGATGCATCGGGTGTTGGGGCTCAGCCCTGGAGGGAGGCACTTGGTTGTTTATCTTGATTTGGGTTTTTTTCTGTGACCATGCCATTGGCACTGTGAACCCCTTCCTTTCATCGCCGGGAACGGGCCTTGGGAACAGCAGACCGGGCCCGCAGGTCAGAGGGCAGGTGAGTGGAGTCCGGCCTACAGTGGTTTACTGTTGCAGAGCGTCCCTGGCGATTCCAGTCCCAGCGTGAGCGTAGCTGCTGCACGGGGCAGGGGTATAACCTGCCGTCCGGGGGGGCAGCTCGGAGGGGGTGGGATGGAGGTGACCATTATGCTCTGAAACCTGGGGCCGAGCGGTTCAGCTGTACAAACCACCTGCAGCACAGAGGAGGGAAGCAAAGTGCCTCACCTCCTGCCTCCATCTGGGGAAAAGTGTGCTGTCGCTGTCTCAAATCACAGATCCGGCGGCCTGGAGCTCAGGTACCGACCAGCAGGCCAGTAAAGCTGATGAGGAGATGGGCGTAGCCTGAAACCTCTCTTTCTGTTTAATAGTTTACCCCGAGTTACTCACATGAGGTACTGAGGCTCAGTGGAAAGACTGTCCGTGGAAAGGACAATATTATTATAC